GGATCTCAGAAGTAATTTGGAGAGGGTCTCTTGTCTAACAATGGCAAATTATATTTTAAGAGGGAATCAAGGGCAAAGCCAAAGAGCCTTGTCCCTCTCTCCTGTTGTGATGGTACCTCAAGTCCTCATTCCCCATGTTTCCTACACATGTAATAAGGCATACACCCACTCAGCATATTTTTACATAAAAATACTCAAAACAGGCAAAAGTGGGAGGGGACTTTGCCTATGAAGGGAATTCAGAAGTGCACAGACATACCTGCTGCCCTGGTATGGCTGCAATTGTTATTTGATACACAGGGGGGTGTAAGGAGGTTGTGTGGAGAGAAGGGAGAGAGTGAAACATCCGAGTGGCTGGCAGTGAAATCCAGTCCAGGGAGAATCTCTGGGATGGAGGGGTCTCTCAGGCTGGGATGCACCATCCTGTGGGGAGCATTGCTCCCGCTGGTGCCATTTCTCACCCTGGCATCTTTCTGGTGACACATCTCAGCGCCTGGGCACCGCTGTCCTTCTGGGGACACGAAAAGCTGCCTGGATAATCATCAGCCAGCGTCCACCTCTGCCAGCAGCACCAGAGGAACCCTCTGGCTCTGGGCTGTGGTGCCCTGCAGAGGCTCCTCCACCCTGAGAGAAGCCCTGCAGGAGCTGGAGCTGCTGGAGATGTGTTGGATGCAGCTGGCAGTATCCAAGGAACGAGCGTGCGAGCCAAGGCACGCGACAGGAATGATCCACGGGCAAAACCCGGCTGCTGGAACATCTGAGTGGAAGGCTGGGAGGAAAAAGGGAAGGCTGAATTGTTTATGGTTTGTTTTTCATTCATCATTCCTGCTTGTGTGGGTGGACAAGGAGTGAATGAGTTTCTCGGGGAGGGCAGCAAATAAAAGAGGCACACATTTCCTTGAAGGATGAGTAGATTTTTTTTTCCTTCCTGCTGCCTAGGTGAATATGTCACAAAGGGGCTGGAGGGAACCCTAACAGCTTCTCTCCCAGGTGGAGGAAACCACTTGCTCTTGATTTTTTTTCCCTTTGATCACCATGTGCCAAGAGATAAAAGGATTGTTTTGGGGTGAGTTTCATCATAATAAAGTCTTGCTTTTTCTCCCTACAGCAAATGTTCTCAACTTTTCTTTGGACTGTTGAGCATCTCATGGGATTACAGTGGATGGTCCATTTCTGGGAGAGACAGCACTGGTGCCTACAGCTACAACCCTCAGTTCTGCCTTACCCTGGTCTGGAAGTTGACATTAACAGGCAGGAAATATGTAGATGTAGATGATTTTTAAGGTTTCTTCCAGTCTAAGCCATTCTCTGATTCTGTGGTTGGTCAATGTCCAGGTTGGAGTCTCAGACTGAGTGTTGGGCTTTGCTTTTTCCACATAATTCCCGTGTTCATAATTTATCACCTGCTTTTCTCATTTCACCTGGGGCTGTGGTGGTGTCCCCCTGGTGCCAGGAGTCTGGTGTGTCCTGGGGAAGGGCTGGCTCCTGCCCCACGTGATGCTCTCCATGGGTATCCCCATACTGAACAAGCCAAATCCTGGCAGAGAATACATGGGGATGGGATAACCTGGTTGCAATGGCTTTGTTGGCATTTGTGGGGCTTTTGTGAGACACCTGATTGTTGCAGGGAAGGAATGTCCCATAGGGAGGAAAAGCAACGTTCCCTTGGCTGGGGTATGGGTGGTGTCTCCTGTATTTGCCATCTTCACACCTGCAGGGAGCCAGGATAGAGCTGGTGCTGGGAAGGGCTGGGGGAGGTGGGGGCACCCTTGCAATGCATGCATGGTTCTGAGGCTGGCCTGAAATGGGCCAGAGCTTAGCACAGCCCCGTGCTGGAAAACACCAGGGAATGGCTGGACCTGTCCTAGGCTGGATAGCAGGGAAAGGTTCCTCCCCAAGAGGGTGCTGGCACTGCCCAGGCTCCCCAGGGAATAGGCACAGCCCCAAGGCTGCCAGAGCTCCAGGAGCCTTTGGAAATGCTCTCAGGCACAGGGTGGGATTGTTGGGATGTCAGAGAGCTGTGCAGAGCCAGGTGTTGGAGTCAATGCCTCCCCTTCCAGCTCAGCACGTTCTGTGACTTTGTGCTCTGTTCCTCCTTACACCAAAAGCCCCACATGGGGTTTGCAGGAGCACACCTTCAACTCTCACAGAGGAGGCTGAGCATCTGCAACCTGTGGAGGATGCTGAAGGACAGCCTGCCTGCCTGTGCTGCTGGAGGTCAACAGCTGTCCTTGCAGAAGAGCTGCAGGGCTGCCTGAGGAAGGGAGGGACACTGGGACACTGCCCTGTGCACCAGGCAGGGCTCTGTGCCAGGAGCTCCCTTGGCAGAGGCCAAGAGAGACCTGAGAGGTGCTTTGTATTCAGGCATCTCTGGGAAATTGCAGGAACAAAATTAAAGGAGGTAAAAGAAAAACCAGCCCCCACAGCACTTGCCTGAGGAATGAAAACCTCTGATGGTGCTGCTGAGCTCTGGGGTCCTCCAGACAGGGTGGGATCCAGGCTGAGCTCAGATTCTCCATCTCTCTGCCAGGATGGCAAATATGATGGGTTTTCACAGCAAGGAGTGAGGGGAGAGATGGGCTTTAAAGCAGACCACAGATCTCCTGGGTTCCCTGCCAACAGTTCCCCTCAACTGAAGGAAAATATTTTTAAAATCGTTTATTTAGGCTTCATTCTCTCGAAGTCAGTGTTCAGGTTGCTCTGGTAACTGCACCAAGGACCTTGCTTTATTTATTTCATATGTCAAAATGCCCAAGGACCTATAGAAAATAATGATTTTCTGTTTATATGGGAATAACAGCATAAAGGAGGGAGAGGGATTTAGTCCTAAAGCATTTCTGAAATGATAAGAGAAAAGCAAGTGTCTCAAGTGAAGAAAACCAGGTGACTTCACAAGAGTTAGGCTGAACAACAGGAAAAATACTGCTAAAAGATGTGACCAGTGCCCCTTTTTAAGGCTGAGTGTTCTGGACTTCAAAATGCCTCAGAGACAACAACAAAAAAAAACCCCTCATTTTTCAAAATTACCCCAGAGGCCTCACAGGTATCTTGCACTGAATTTCTCAGTGGGAGAACTGCTGTGGTCTTGCTGGGATTTCAGCCTGCAAAAGCAGACAAGGATTAGCAACTCAGCTGCCTGGGCATGAAAGTGCCCTTTCTGCTGAGGGCAGGGTAGAGCAGGCGAGCTCCAGATCAAGTTATGCTATCGGGTATCTCCTTCCTTTTCAGGCAGAGCCTCAGTTGCTGTCTGAGCAAAATGATAGGGAAAGGGGAAATTCCACAGAGATTTATGTCAAAAGATGAGAGAAGTCAGGTGGTTTCCCTGCTCCTCCGAGCAGCTTCCTGAATTTGAAATACTGCTCTTCCCTCTGCCGTGGGAAACACTTCTGGTCCCTTCTACCTCCCCCTGCATTTCCCTGCAGTTGGGCACGGTCACCAATCAGGGGAAACGAGAAAGCCTTCAGAAACATCTGAGACCAAAAATCCACAGAAAATCACGCTTAGCGAGGGGAAATGTGTGCAAGGAGTAAACGGTCCCTGAGCCCTGCTGTGTGCGCGCTGCGGGGCTCCCGGCGCACCACGGCCCCGCAATGGTAGCGCTGCTCTGAGAGCGCTCCCAGAGAGGGGAGAGCCGCGCTCCGGGCTGGCAGCAGGAGCTGCAGAGCCCCGGGTGCGTGTGCGGGGGCTGTGCCCTCGTGTGCCAGCGGTGGGACAGCGCTGCCTGCCGCCCCGAGCCGGGCAAACACCGGAGAGGCTGCGCCCCATGCCTGGGCTGGGCTGGGCACGGCGGCTCTGCTCCCTTCCCGTTTTTCCTGATGGCTCTGGCTGCGCTATGGTAAATGGAAAGCAAATCCTGATCCTGCCATCTGTGCTCCTTTGCTCTCATTGATGGGCTCAAAGACCCAGCTCTTGTCATCTCTTGAGGTTCGCTGGGGGGTTTTCCTGGGGCTCTAAAGGCTCTGGGGCCATTGCAGTCTGTGCCCAGAGCCATCCCCCTCCCGCCTCCAGGTCACCTCCGTGGGATGGGACTATGGCCGCTCCCCTTCAACGCGGAATCCAGTGCAACAACAAGCACCACAAAATCCCCTGCTGCTGCTAACCGAGCATCTCAGCTCCCTCCCGCACTGCCTGGGCAAGCGAGGCTTTGGGAGCGCAGATGCTTCAGGATCAGCCTCGAAAATAAACCCAAACAAGCCCCTTTTGGAGCTTAAAGCGACTTCTCCTGGAAGCCACTGCAGGGAAAAGCATTTGTTTATTAACGAGAGGCAGCCGGAACAGGGCATGCATGAAAGGCGGCTTTGTCTCGCCGGCCACTGCGCGTTCCGTTTGTCTCTATGTTAATGCCTTTCCTTCAGGTGTGCAGGGAATCTCGGGCACAAATCTCCCAGCTCCATAAAACCATCGGGCAAAGAGGAATCCCCGGCTCGCGGGCCCTGCGCATCGCGGAACCCCCGTGTCACCTGCAGCCGCCCCCAAACGAGCGCATCTTTGGTTTGCTCTGCGGGGAAAAGGGGGGTTCTGCGAACGCCTGGGGGCCTGCCGAGGGGCCGGCTCCATGGCCGGGGGGAGGGAACGCGGGCTGCCTCCATCGCCGAGGACCCCCAGGGACGCGGGGATCCCCGCCGCAGCGGTCATCCCCGGGGGGGAGTCCCCGGGCAGGGAATCACCTTTCCGGGGGGGTGCGGGCTCAGCATCCCGGGGGCAGGGGCGGCTTTGGAGCATCCCGCCTCCTCCCCGCTCCGCGCCAGTGCCCGTGCCCGTGCCTGTGCCGGTGCCGGTGCCGTGCCGCGGCCGCGCCGCGCCAGGCCGTGCCGGTGCCGTGCCCTGCCGTGCCGCTCCGTGCCGGTGCCGTGCCGTGCCGTGCCGTGCCGTGCCGTGCCGTGCCGTGCCGTGCCGCCCCGCGTCGCGCCGCTCCGCTCCGCCCCGCCGCGCCCGCCGCGCCGCAGCCCCGCAGCCCGGCCCCGCAGCCCGGCCGCCGCCGCAGGGCCGGCGGGCAGCGAGCGGCAGCCGGCGGCATGAGGCGCGACCCGGCGCCCGGCTTCTCCATGCTGCTCTTCGGCGTCTCCCTCGCCTGCTACTCGCCCAGCCTCAAGTCGGTGCAGGACCAGGCGTACACGGCGGCGGTGGTGCTGGAGGGCAAGGTGCAGTCCGTGGGCCCCCCCGCCGGCGGCAATGACAGCCGCGGCGCCGGGCCCGCCGGGGGTGTCCTGGTCAAGGTGCTCGACCTGTGGCCCCTCAACAGCGGGGGGCTGCAGCGGGAGCAGCTCATCAACGTGGGCTCCAAGGCGCCCTGCTTCAAAGTGAAGCGCAACCACCGCTACATCTTCTTCCTGGAGCCCACCGAGGAGCCGCTCGTCTTCCGCACCGCCTTCGCTCCGCTCGACACCAGCGCCAAGAACCTCAAGCGGGACGTGGCGCGGATCCTCTGCGCCGACTGCGGTACGGGCCGCGCCGCGGCGGCGGGGGGCGGCGGGGGGCGATGGCGGAGCGGCGGCGGGGGGCGATGGCGGAGCGGCGGCGGGGAGCGCTGGCCCGCGTCCCGAGCAGCCGCGGGGCGACAGGTCCGTACCGCTCGGACCTGCGGGGGACAGGTGCCCGGCGATCGCCCCCCCACTTCAGCCCCGGTGGGCCCCGGGAGCCGCGCCTGCACCGGGGGAGATGCGATGCGATGCGATGCGATGCGATGCGATGCGATGCGATGCGATGCGATGCGATGCGATGCGCTCCGCGCGGCCCGGCCGCCGCAGCCGCGCTGCCCCCATCCCCCGGGCCCGGGGCTCCTCTCTCGCCCCGCTCAAGGTCCCGCAGCCCCGGCCCGGCGCCGCGCCAGCAGCGCAGCCCCGGGCCCGGTGCGGGGAGTGCCCGCAGCCCGCGGCCGCCCGGCGCTCGGCGGTGCCGCGCGGGAGCCCCCGGTGTGAGCGCGGTCCCGGTGCCTCTCCCCTCGGGGGTCTCGGCTGTTTTGGCCCTGCCGGGAGAGCCGCCGGCCTGCGGGGGCTCCCGTGGCTCCGGCCGCGACCCCCGCCCCGGGCGCGTTCCCTGCTGCCGAGGAGGGGGCCGGGCCCGGGATGCGGGGCTGGGACAGGGGCAGCGCTCCAGGTGTGCCCTAAGAGCCGGGAAGTTTTGCGTCTCCCAAAATAACGGCCTCGCGGGGGGGAAGTTGGTTTTTCTTTTGTTCGTTCCGCGCATTTCGGTGTCTCCGATCACGGCTCTCGTGCGGTGGCTGGTGCTGTTCTTCCAGCACCTCTGGAAACGCGGTTATGAAATGACTTCAACGGGAAGTGCCCGCCGGAGCGTCCCTGCTTTTGTTCCTGGGTTTTCCTTGCTGTCCTCTGGCAGGTGAACACCTGCGAAGGGCTGGGCGGTGGGGACCGGGCGAGGACAATGCCTGCATTTTCCCAGGGTTTGGATCGGAGCTGACAAAAATGCACGGCTGGCCCTTCATCCAGCCTGAATGCTGGATACTGTGTCACAAAATCTGGAGAAGGATGGTGTTAACCCGGAGAGCTCTGAGTGCCGTACCCTCAGCAGGGGTTTGGATTCCTCGTGCTTGCTGTGTTACCAGGATACACAGGGTGTAGCTCCAGGGAATCCAGGCTCCCCATTCAATGTCAGTACACTGCATCCTCATCAGGCTAATTGGCCTTTTGCCTCATTAAAAGCAAGGTACTTTGTCAAGTTATACTTAGCTCTGTAATGACCATATGTGTACTGCTCCATGGTGGTTGCTGTTGTGGAATTAACTGGGTGTTTCTGGGGCAAATACTCTGCCATTTGGGACTGCTGACCCCGCATTGTGAAAGCCAGACCTGTCTCTTTTTTTAGTTATCCAAAAGATAAATTTAGAAGCTTGCGTTTCCTGGGAGAAAGGTGGAACCTTGCATATCATAATATGTTGTTGAGGAAAATGGGCTAGGACTGTGTGCAAGAAAACTAATTTGGGAGACACTAATTTCATGTGCATCTGTATATGGGCCATCGTGGACAGAGAGGATTTAGTGAAAGAGCTGTGGCAGAGAAGAGAGGAAAGTAAATGGGGGAATTTCTCAGGACTGTGGTCTCGCTGTCAGGGGAAAACACAGCAAAAGGTATGTGGCTTTTATTGTTTTTATTTTTTTTTTTAAATCAAAAAGGATTCTGAACTTGTGCATCTCTGAGCAGCAGGGTTTGACTTGAAGGGGAATGGAGGCTGCTCCGTGGCATCCTGGCTCAGGCCCAAAGTGTTAACGTGTGGGCTGATGTAACAACAAGTTAGGGGTTGTCATTCTGTCGTGACACCTCCTTGGAGCTGATGCTTTTGTTTCTGTGTGGCTCTGACGGGCTGATTCGGCTCCCTGGCTGAGGGACACTGCAGATTGGTGGGAGCCTCGTCTCAGCAGAGCTCGATGGCAGATTCCAAAGGAAAAATAAAATCTGGTGCTTGGGAAATGTCATAGCTGTGGTTTGGTTTGGTGATGAAGATGAAATGGGAGCCTCAGCTTGCTGAACTGGTGGTTCCCTGAGCACTTCATGCTCTTGGTCCAGCTGGCAGATTACTTCTGAAGGTGACTTTCCTGGCAGGAAAGTCTGATTTGTAGCACCCGAGCTGCTGGAAAGGTGTGGGAACTGGGAACCCAGGGTTTGCCTTCCTGCTCTGTGGTTTGTGCTGGGAGGGGAGATCCAAAAGGGTGCAGGGGTATTTCCCATTCTTGCTGCTCATGGGGGTGGTGAGAACTCCAGAGCTGGCAGGGGGTGAATGTCCAGGCACGAGGAGCACTCTGAGGGACAGCTGGGCTGCAGCTGTGTGAGGGATGTTACAGAGCTGGGGCACAGATGCTGGGGTCACTTTGGTGTGGGTAGGGAGGACCCTGTGGCTCTGATCACTCCAATCTCCCCACTCCCAAAGATGGAGGCCTCACAGGACCATCTTCTCCCTGCTCTGGCTCTGTGCCTGGGTCTGTTTTCCAGTGATTCATCCCCTTCTCACTGGCTAAGATGCTGTGTGTCTCCTGCTCTTGCTGCATGCCGAGGTCTGGGATGCGATGCAGGACTAGACCTGTGATGGGAGCATCCGTGTCCCTCTCCAAGGAGCAGCCTCTGCTGTTTGCACTTCTCACTTAAAGGAGAGAAAGTGGGTGCTGAGACTCTACACGGGATCCAGACCCTCTGAGCAGAGGCAGGAGGACTGAGGTGAGAGAAGGACGGCCTGGGGTGTGGGGGACAGAACAGGAATGCCAGTCTGTGTGCCTGGTGTGTGTGGGGTCTGAGTTGAGCTGCTTCTTGTGTGCCCCCTGAGCAGGGATCCAGGGAGGGGATTCTCACTTTGGCCATCTCACTGCTGGGCAGGTTCTGAAGGCTGGAGCTTCCCCACCTGCAAACCCCAGAGAGGTGCAGGCTCTGCAGCTCTGCCCAGCCATGGTTTTCATCCCTCTGGCACACAGGGAGCAGCTGGTCCTGGGGCCTGGCATCCTGCAGGTCTCACCACCCACTTGTCCATCTTGAAACCTCTTTTGCACTGGAAGTATTATTGGTTTTTTTTTCATGCTGTTATATAACGATTCCTGTTATTGCTTCTCCTCCTGTCTCTTTTCTTTGTATCTTCTAGCTCCTTAATTTTGGATGGTCTCATATCTCCTTTGTGCCTACACGCACAAGGAGGAGGAAATAGGTGCAAGACACAGTGCTGGCTCTCACTGGTGAAGGAGCTGGTGGCATTATCCCCACTGGAACAACTCCTGATCTGGATCCAGAAAGGGGCTTGTGGCCCTCATCCTGCTGGTCTTTAGGGGTACCTTGTGTCAGCATCTGCTTCCCACTCTGCATGAGTCCCCTCTACCTCTGTGAAACATTGATGTGCAGATATTTTGCGCACAGGAGAGTGGGGATTTAACCTGTCCAGGCTCTCTGCTTTCACAGAGGAACAAATGTCTCCCTGCCTCCATATGCAGCGACTTGCAAAGTAGCTTTAATTACAGCTTGTATGTCTCCTGAAGCACCTCACCGAAAACGCTGCTGAGCTCCAGGATGAGCTCTGCCACTCGCCTGTAGGATTAGCTAGCTTAGCCTGGGCAGGTAATCTGGTGGTGGCAGATCCCTGGGAGGATTTGCAGGCAGAGGACCTGTTGTTGTAGCTGGTACTTCTTGTGAGATGAGGTATTCATTTTATTTTATTTCCAGTCTGAAGGTGTCTTTGTCCCAGTGGGAATCAGGAATGTGCTGGGGCTGTGGCATTGGCCTCAGTGGCCACATAATGCTGGGAGCTGTTTATCCTGGAGCCAGGTTGGTTAGAGCTGCCCTGTGAGGGGAGGAGGGAGGCCGGATTTTGAAGTGCCCGCTGGAAAATACAGCCCTCTGGATTACAGTGTAGGTGTTGCTGCCTGAAATAGCACTGGCAACTTTGGACCAGCAGCTCATGCAAAAATATCCCTCTTCACTATCCTGCAGATCATTGGAAGCCAGGCAGGCACAGGGGAGGGGTGTGGGTGGGCTCCAGCCGCTGGTGATGGTACTCTGCCTTCATCCCAGGACAGCTGTGGAGCACAGAGCAGTAAAGCTGGATTATCTCACACACCACCTTGCTAATTAGAGCAGTCTGAAGCTGTTTCTCACCACCTTCAGAAAATCACACTTCTTTGGGTTTGCAGAAGAGCAAAAACTTGCTTCCTTCTTGCCTTGAGTTTCTGCAGATGGGGAATGGTCACTGTGCTGCAGACAGCTGTGACCTCTCACAAGGATGGCACAGTTCTGGGTGCTCTCTTAAATCCTCTCACACAGGATTTGGTCTGGAGTGGACCTGGGGTGGCTGGGTCCTTGTGGCCAGGTCAGCTCCTTGTCTCCCAGATGAGCCATCCAGGAACTGGCAACTGGAACTTTGCTCTGCCGAAGCTGCAGGTCCAAGTGACTTCAGTGGTGCCTGACACTAGAGAATTTTTCCCCTCCCAGACATGTGCCATGTGTGGAGCAAAGCCTGGCTAGCTTCTCAGTCCCCCTTTCAGAAATGTTTGACTAAATAAAGCATCTCCCCAAGGATCTCCATGAGTAAGATGAGACTAAAACAGCTCCTGAGTGATCCCAGCAGTGCTGATTTCTCTATCTGGGGCTGCTCCGTGCCCAGCCCAGGCCCCAGCTGCTGCTTGGTGGCTCTTTGTGCTCCACCAGCTGACAGCCCTTAGAGATGGGCCCTGAGGCAGAACGCCCTTTCTAAATCACAGGCGACACCTTGACTTGGGTTTGGATCTGGATCAGAAACTGGTGCATGCTTGGGAGCACAGAGGCAATAAACTGCATCCCCAGGCAAAAAGGGAGCCATGCTCTGCCACAGCTGAGCTCCCCGCTTCGTTTGGGCTGTGTGAGATGCACCATGGGCACCAGGGCCTGGAGCCTTCCAGAACTTGGCACACCCCGAAATCTGCTGCAAAGTGCCACAAGGGATGGGTTTTGGTGCCGTGCTGCTGGGCTGAGGG